CCTGTCAGGGGGTTGCAGAGAGTGAGAAGGTCCCCCCTGAGCCTCCTCCTGTCCAGGCTGAGCCCCCCCAGCTCCCTCAGCTGCTCCTCACAGCACTTGTGCTCCAGACCCTTCCCCAGCCTCGTTGTTCTTCTCTGTCCCTGCTCCAGCCCTTCAATGTCCTTCCTGAGCTGAGGGGCCAGAACTGGGCACAGCACTCCAGGTGAGGTCTAACAATCCAAAGTGGCCAGCACTCGGTACCCAAAGGACTTCAGGAAACCTGTCCCATCACTCTGCCTTCTCCTTAAGCCCCTGGAGACAGCAGAGCCTTCAGACCATCCCTCAGGAGTGGCAGGCACTGCAGCCCCCGCCTTCCTCAGGGGCCAGAGCTGCTCCTTTGGCTTTCTCTCCCCGCAGCTGCCACCAGCGAGAGGCAACGAAGTGGGTGAGGGGTGGCTGTGGGTGGAAGGAGAGGGGACAGATGAGTCACCTCTCAGGAGGGCTGTAAACGATCCAGGTGCCTCTGGATATGTCACTGCTTAGACAAGATGCAAGGGCACAAATGCACATCATCCTCCCTGCTCTCGGATGAGTCACGAATTGACTTTTCCAAGAGCTGCTGCTCTTGGTATCATCACCGGTGCCTCTGCAAGACATTTACCAATCCCTGGGACCCCTGAGGGCCACAGCAAAGTTCATTCTCTCCTGCTGGGGTTTTTTTCTCTCTCCTACTGCTGTGTGCTTGGTCTCACAGAGGAGCAGGGAAGGGCAGTGTCTGAGGATGCTGAAGCCTGTGGGGTGAAGGGGCTCAGATCCAGCCCTGGCACACAGAGCTGCTGGCTGGGAGGTGGTGACATGCTGGGTGTGGTGGTGGGAACCCTCTGAAGCTCTCCCCAGGCACAGTCTCCCCAACATGTTGTAACATCCCTCTCAAATAGCTGAGATTAGGCTGAGAGGGATGTCCAAATGTGAGCACTGATCCCTGTTTGGGACTCTGCTGCCCCAGCCTGCTCTCACCACCTTGCATGCTTTGCTGGGACACTGTCTCCTGCAACCAGAAGCCCATCTGCCAGAGAAGGCATCCCTGTGGCATCTGTGGGATGGAGCTCTGATGTGTCCAACCCTCCCAGGAAATGAAGAGACACCCTAAAATTTTTTTTTTTTTTTTTTTTAATTCTGCAGTATCTCTTGGCTTCTCTCCTTTCCCTTTCCACCCTGCTGGAAGGGCAGGTCCCTGCACAGATTCTCACTTGTACTTCTCCATGTCCTCCATAGAGATGTCCCTGAGGTCTTCAATAAACTGCTGGATCTAGGGTGGGAAAGAGAGAAGGCAGAGCTCAGTGCAGGGATGGGAACAGGGGGCAGAGGGGAGCTTGTTGTTCCTTTTGGAGGCAAATGTCCCCAACTAAACTGGAGGACAAGGCATTTGCCTTGCTGGATCTGCACCACCACAGTGGGCTTCTGTGGACAAGTGGCTGAATGAAACCAAACCCTGGCCATGGCTTGACCTGTATCCCCTGTCCCAGCCTGCCTGGCTCACACTTCCTCTGCCCCACAAGAAGAAGCCAGAAGCCAGATTTGCCCGGAGTCCCCAGCCCCCTCCCCGTGCCCGACAGCAACCAGGTGAAAAGGAAGTTTTCTGGTGGGCCTGTGGGCTCTCCCCTCCCTTTGGGCAGCTGAGAGTCACTCCTGCTCCTCTTTCTGGGCAGGGAGAAGGGCTCTGGCCTGGCTTTACCATCTCCAGCTGTCTGTGAGTGTCGTGTGCTGCCACCTTCCACTTTGCGTTCAGCCGTGTGCTGGCGGCGTGGAAGAGGCCGTGGATGGTCCTCTCGATGGCCCTCAGCTTCGTGCTCTTCTTGGCAGCCCTGTTCTGGATGTCCATCCACTGAGCCTCCTGGGAGGAGAGGAGACATGGAGCAGGGGGACATGTCAGCTCGGTTCAGCGTGGCTCAGCTCAGTGTGGTGGAAGCAGATCCAGAAGAGCCCTCCCCACAGCAGGGAAGCCGATCCCCTGCAGCAGCACATGCCACTGACCCCCCCTCCCAGACCAGGTGCTTTCCAGCTTTGCCTTAGGGCAAACCTGCTCCAGACCTGGGCTTTCATTCTTCCTTCTGCAAACCCCACGGAGGGAAGAAATTAGGCATCTGCTCCAATCACAAAGGCTGCTGCTGGGCCTTGCCACAAGCCCATGGCTGAAGGAGAATCCATCAGCCAGTTTTGGCTCAGTCAGGCCTTGCAGATCTTGCCCTGCCCGCCCCACAGTCCCTTACCCAGACAGGGAGGTCGCTTTGAGCCTTGTCTAAATATTGTTTTAGCTGCACCAGTTCGTTCTTGCACTGAAGCATCTCAGCTCCTTTCTGTGCCCTGTACTGGTCCAGGAGCACCCTGGCTTGCTCAGTCATCTCCTTGTCCCGGTGCTGTGACTGCAGCAGCTCCTTGCGAGACCTCATCAGTGACTTGTAGAATGAAATGACATCCTCAATGTCCCGAAACTGCAGCACAGGATTCCTGGTGTTAGTAGCTTCCCTCACCACCTGCAGATCTCGTGTCCTTTGGCACCCTGCCCTGACCAGGACCAACACCTCCCTCAGATCTTCCCTTCTCCTCAAGACTCCTGTTGGCTCCTGAGCACCACCACGTTCCCTGTGTGATGGCATCCCACTGTGCCAGGCCTGGAGCTGTCACTGCCACAGGCAAGGGGAGATATTTCACCTCTTCCCCAGGTGAGCAGTGCTCTGATAAACACAACCACAGCTGCAGCTGCCTGGATCTCATTCCCAGGCAGCCCTTCACCCCTCCCAAACCACGAATATGACCTGAAATGGTGACACCAAAGGGGCCCCACTCTCCTCAGCCCTGAGCTTTCAACCTTTTTCATGTTTTTTCTTGGTTTTCTCAAGCCTTCACCTCCTGTTCTGGTTCTCCTCCCCTGACTCTGCTCCCTGTGGCTCACCTTGGCTGTAAATAACTCCCTCCTATCCCACTTGAGGTCTCTGGGTTTGATCAAGTGTTATAATTTCCCTGAACTTGCCTCATCTCTTCTATTTTAACACCCACATAAGGCCCTCCCAGAGGCCAGGATCTGCCTCTCAGGTCCAACCTCACCTGTGAGACCTCCACCACATCCTCCAGGTACCTCTTGAACACAGAGTATTTTGGCAGTTTCTGGCAGAGTTTCTGATGCTGTTTTCTGAGGGCTTCCAGTTCCCTCTTGGCTCTCAGGAGCTCATTCTCCTTTTTTATATTCTCCTCTCTATCTTTGCTGGCTTTCCTCAGGGCTTGGTTTCGCAGCATTTCATTCTCCTGGTCATGTTTCCCCATCAGCACGCACAGACAGAGGGAAGGGAAGGGAAGGGAAGGGAAGGGAAGGGAAGGGAAGGGAAGGGAAGGGAAGATGGAGCTGGGTTATTCAACCGCACTGGAAGGAGATAGAAACCTTCAGAGAGGAGAGCAGCACTGGAGCATCCCTGGGAACAATTTTCCTCCCTGTTTTACAGTGCCCTGTGGCACTGACCCTTTGGTCTTGGAGGCAGCCCCTGAGATGACACTCTGATTTTTTTCAGACCTCCCTGTACCTGTCCCTGGAAGACTGATGGAGCTCAACAGAGGGGACAAGGCTGAGACCCTCCTGGAGGGACATTTGGGGCCCTCAGGAGATCACATGGGTGCAGGACAAGCTCTCCCCACCCAAGCCCTAAAAGGGCTTTCCAGCTCTGGGGTACAAACCCCTGGGTCCTGCCAGTGCTGTTCTCACAGCTCCAGGTTCAAGGGAGGCTTGGCCAGGCGTGCTGGTCCAAGACTTTTTCCCAAGGGAGGAGTTGGTGGTGTGGCTCAGAGTTGTGAAAGCTGAGCAGGGCAGCTGTACCTGCACAGTCCTCCCAGATCTCTCCACACGGGCCTTCAGCTGAGTCCTCCTAGCGTGCAGGTCCCTCCACTGCTCAGCAATGGCCTCCAGCCTCTCCCTGAAGGCCTGGCAGCACCAGAGAGAGGGTGACACGGCTGCCCACGCCCAGCACCAGCCACCTGCACGCTGCTGCCACCTGCCAAAAAACCCCAGAGCCCTCCCAGCCACATCCCACCACCCTCCCATCTTCCTCACCTCTTTTTTCTCCTCCACATCCTCTTCCAAACATCGTAATTCTTTCTTCTTCTTCAGGAGGCACATAAATGAGGATGCAGGGTCCTCATCTGGCTCTCCGAGTTCCCTGTGAGAGAGTATTTCCTCAGGGTTACACGCTGGATCCAGGTCCTTGCAGGCTGCTGGACTGGGTGGTGATGGGGCAGAGCAGCCTGACAGAGCCCATCTGTCATCGTGGCATCCCCAGCCCTCCCCAGGGGGGATCCCCTGGCAGAGCAAAGGGGGGTTACAGGAGGAACAGGGCCGGGGAAGGGAGGTACAAGAGGGGATGGAAGTGATGGAGATAAGGGATGGCAGTTTGCCACAGTGGGGCAAGAAGGGATGGAGGAGACGGGAGAAGAGGGTGGAGGAGCCCCCTCACCTGAGCAGGGTCAGGAGATTGGCCCTGTACTGTTCACGGTAATAGTTGGCATTCTCGTTGTCTCCCGGGTCCATCGCTCCAGCCATCAGCAGCCACCAGAGCCCAGGTCCTGCTGGCCCTGCTCCTGTCCCTGCCTTCACCTGCAGCTACTCCAACACCTGCAACAAGCTCTGTGGCTACTCCAGTGCACCAGGACAGGCCCTGCAGCTGCTCTGACCCCAGAGAGAGGCCCTGTGGCCACTCTAATGCACCAGGAAAAGCCCTGTGGCTGCTCTAACCCCCATAACAAGCCCTGTGGCTACTCTAATCCCACAGAGAGACCCTGAGGCTACTCCAACCATTTTGGCAGCTCCTGTGGCTGCTCCAAGCACTGTGGCAGATCCTGTGGCTATCCAACTATTGTGACACCTCCTGTAGCTGTCCAACCACTGTGACAGATCCTGTGGCCCTTGTGACACCTCCCGTGGCTATTCAATCACTGTGACATCTCCTTTGGCTA